GAAATAGCTCAATATTGGTTTTACAAAGATGTATTTTTTTTCCGTGGACAATTTGTCTACCAGCAAATTTGTTCCAATTTACAATGATAGCACTCTTTCTAATAGGAAATCCGACTGTGGAGGTATTTTAAGAAGGTAATTTTTTGATTTTTCCCTGGAGTTTTCCCAATAAAAATAACAATTGGGAAAACCGGAGAAAAAACACGGGAAACCCGTAAGAAAAACGTGAAAATAGATACAATATTAAACGAATATTATTAAAGAAAATCTATGATCCTATGCAATTATTTTACCATAGTATGACATATATATTGTTGAAAAAGCAACACTATTAACTGTACCCTGCTCAGAATCGTTGTTTGATTAGCAATAGTTTATCGATGATTATAAATATACATTAAATTTACCCTCTACTACATTCCCAACTTCTCACCTACAACAGTGGCCGCACCCATGTGTGAAGTTGCCTTGTTTTTTGTAACTAAAACTAGAATACAAGGAAAACAGGATAAGTATAGGAAACACAACTTTATATCTGCGAATAACAAGGTATTGTTATTTTTTTCCCGTTGTTATATTACCATGGTTTTTTTTTTATTTTACGAACCGTTGAAAAACATATGAAATCACGTCTTTAGGTACCGTGATATAAATATTTATGTAACAATCGAAATTAAAAAAATTAACGTTAAATCAAAAAAAAATATGTAATGCATTTAACAACATTATTTAGGTATGTTATCGTTTTTCCAAATTAAACGTTCTTTTTTTCAGAGATAATTTATTCAATGTTCAATGTGTACGGGTTTTGTCTTTTTTGTCTCCTTTCTTTGTAATTTCTAATGAATTCGTTTTTGCGATTTTTCATCACTACCGAAGAAACCACGGTTGGAGTGGTTAACCGCGAGAGCTAAAAAACAAAAAAAGTATTATTATTTATTATGCAAAACCATAGTACCTATGGCGCGCTTCGTGAAATATATTCTTTAAAAAGTGCATTTTTCGATTTTCAAAGAAGTTTTACTATCAAATGTGAAAAACCGAAAAAAACATTGTAAAAACGTGAAAATGTACGAAATATATATTAGTAAAATATTACGATTTTATTTTCTGTGGACAACTTTTTTACCAGCAATTTCGCTCCGATTTACAAGGATAGCACTTTTTCTAAAAGTAAATGTGACTGGATATTTCATTAGAAGTACATTAGAGACGTTTTTCTCAAAAAATGTGTGTGGTTGCCGCTACATCTTATTTAAGGGATGGATATACTTTCTAGAATTGGTAGTTTAGTATAAAACACGTTGTGCATTTTACAATTAATATAAAATGTAGTAAACATAATTTTCCACTACATAGTCAATAGACAGTAGATAATAGTCTATTCCTAGACTGCCGTGTACTGTATGATTGCATTTGTAAAAGCAAAGAATTACGAGCTATAACTGTATATAATAACTATTAAAGTTAATAGTTTTACGATAAATAATCAATAGTATACCCAATAAATTTCCTAATCTACAACAGCGGCTACAGCTAAAAACACATAATAAATTAATGTAAGTAAAAGAGCTGACACTGGGGACGTGTGTGGCCACTGTTGCAGGTGGATAGTTTGGAAAGTAGGATATATAAAGTTATTTAATTTATACCTGTAGCCAACGATAAACCATTGCTAATAATGAGAAACGACTCGGAGAGAAGTTCGTTTATACACGATTTACCGAATAAATATTGCGTAAAAAAACTTCCGAAATTATATTGCTGGTATATAGCTTAAAAATGGCTCAAATATTTTGAAAATGTTATTACTTCTAAAAAAGGTAAATATAAAAAATAAACTAAATTGAAAATAATAAATGCATTATTTTCGTAAATTTTCTCATTTTTTTTTTTTTTTTTGGTTTTTCTCAATTATTAATAAAACTACACAAAAAATCCAAAAACAATTCTCTAACTCACTATAATCAAATTCAATAAAAAAAGTCTCTTGTGGTTTTTCTGTTGAAAGAATGTTTATAGTAGAACATATTGATAGGTATACAAATTTAAAATAATGAAATCGGGAGCCCCGCGGCCGTGGCGCGTGGTGTAAATATTTACCGTTTTACCTATAATTTTCTTACGGATTTTACCCAATTATTTTGGAAACACGTAAGGAAATCAATAATTTACGTCTAACTAGACAAAATTACTTCTCAGAAAGTGTTATACTCTATACATCGGGGCAAGATTTCTTGTAGAAAAGTTGTTCACAGAGACAAAGAAAAAAATAATAATCATACAAAACCACTCATCATAGTAAAACCAAAAGATCAAAAGAGACCAAAAGATCTCTCGCCTTGCTCAAAATCTAAAATAAACATCACTATAAAACCAATGGTAATGTTAAATTTAAAAATCGGTTTCTAATACCTTTATAAATAATTTTGATGCTAAAATTCAAAATTAAAGTACCTATTTTTGCAATAAAATATGCACACATTTTTTTAAATGTTATTCAGTAAATAATATAGTTTATGAAAATGATATTTTGTAGTTTAAGAAATTGGTTGTTGATGTCGGAGGTTATGCCATTTATGACTTAGGTTAAATACCATGTAGAATACCACGCCACTGGCGTTGCTTATAGTTATAGATTAAATTACCTATAACAGTGACTGCATCAGGTTTTGTTAATTTTGTAATTACATTTCATACGGTCGAGTTTATCCAATGATCTTCGGCACGTCATTTGAGCTTTACTCAATTCGTTCGATGTGCTGCATAATTGACATAGTATCTCCTAGAGTTTGTATTTTCAATGATGTTCATTCAAAAATCTTTGATCAGCCATAGTGTCATGTTATTTTATAGCATGTAATGTGTATATTGAGCACAGTATAATTTAACGTGTAGGTAAGTGCATAATATAAATTATAACGAAAAATATGATGTACAAAAGAAAATAAGAGAGCCCCATGTGAACGTCTATATGGCTATAACTGTTATATCGATCAATAAATAAATAAACATTTGAGTACCTATAGCGAAATTGTTTGTATTCGGTTCTCATTGAGACGTGACTTAATTTTGGCCAGCACCCAAAATATTAAATTATATACTATTATTATCATTCGTTTTTCTTAGTTTGTATTTAAAATAAATAAAAAGTTTAATGTTACTTGTAAGGCTTACAGTAAAATTTCCTTTCCTATAGTTTAAGGAAATTGACGCAGGACCTATACGATATGATAGGACTATTACCAGTTGAGCATATTTATAATTGATATTGTCCATACGTCACTTATTGTGAAGACGACAACCGCGAATGTATAAGACAGATCCTATTATGAATCCAGTCCGTCCATGCTTCGCCAATTTCTGAATGAGACTTGGCCACGATGTAGTTATCACTATTTTTTTTACATTGTTAATTTACATTGTTTATAAAAATAAATATTTTTATTCGTTCGAAAAATGATAGTATAGTGTATACTATCATTAAGTACAATCATCACGCAATCTCGATAAACATCGCTTGTACCCCGAATAATTTTACTAATGTCGTTTATACCCTATTACTATCGTTTAAACCCAATATAATTATGAAAACGAAATATAAAGTGTCATTTATACCCCAAACTTAAAATTCAAATCGTTCGTCAAATAATGGTCACGGCTGTTTTTGCGCGCGCGCAACGGACGAAACACGTATTTTTCCATCTTAATAGTGAAGCCATGTCGCGTGGACCCAAAGTGTCGCTTAGACCCTTTTGTCGTGTTACCGTCAATAATATAATTTGTTACAGTCGATATTGCTGCGTGTAAACGAATTGACGCCCGGAAAGTAGCCGCGAGGTGCACAAAGTGTAAATAAAATGAAGAGTACAGGGGAAATACCAGAAAAGTCAATTTTTTTTTTCCAAAGTGAGGATATATAAATTTTATTGATATGCCGTAACTTTTATGCGATCAAAACGTGGAAAAACAAGATTAGTCGAATTTAATGAATGCCATGAGTTAAGGCCTATAACAGTAAAAAAAATCAGATAGTTAATTTAAAACCAGGTAAGTGTTGGCTTAATACATGACTATTGTCTTGGTCAATAATTTATATGACATTATTATGTTGTGGTTACTACATTTCGAAATTTAACATTAAACCTAATCCGAACTTTTTACTTTCTCTTAACGTACCCTCCCAGTCAGATTTTCTTTTAGAAAAAATGCTATCATTGTAAATCTGAGTAAAACGACCGGTAGAAAAGTTATCCACAGAAAAAAAAATCATAATATTTTATTAATACAATATTTCGTACATTTTCTCGTTTTTCTGGCTTTTTTCTTTTAATTGGGAAACCCGGGAAAATCAAAAAATGACCTCTTTAAAGCACTATCCCAAGCAAATTTTCTTTCAGAAGAGTGTCTACATCGTACACATTGGAGTAAGCTTTCTTGTACAAAAAATGTTCACATGAAAAATAAAAATAATAATAATAAATAAACATCTTTGTAAAACCATTAGCTACACTCAGAATCTAAAAAATAATTATTTAATGGTGACTCAAGGTCATTGAATCAACAATATTTCGTTTCTATAGGGAATCAGAACTAAAACATCCTAATTTAATAAACAATAATTACCGAAAACATTATTACTAATATTTAATTTTATTAATAAACACAATCACTTTACAGCTTTGCAAACGTCATTTATTGATTTCATGAGTCGATTGCACTTTAGTGTATTTTGATTCCATTATTCCTGAATTTCTGGCTAATTTCTTAAGGCCGAAATTAATTCATACCATTTCAATCGGCCGCCCGCTTAACGCGTCGCTGTTCAACATTTCAATAATCGCACGGTGAGGTAAAATTAAAAATATTCGTCACTCACGTTTCTCGTACCGGGATCTTTCGGTACAAGATATTTGTTATGAACGTTAATCGTAATCGTTATTCTTGAAAAAAATTCAAATTTCGAATCCGTTGTCAAAAGGTCCATGTTATCAATTTCGTCAAATTCCGTCATCGTTAAGCCGTTTGTCAAAGACCTGACGGGCCACCAAGTGAGTTTGGTCATCGATAGTCAAAGCATCCGAAGCAAACTTTGGTACTCTAACGTCTTCAGCCGATTCCACTACCGTGGCAGTTTTCGTAAAATCAGGTGTTTCCGTGTTTTGATCATCGAAAAACGCTTCCATTTTTTCCGCACAGTTGGTAAATTGGAAAATCGAGTTTTCTAAATGAAAGTTAAACTAATTCATGGCCGTTAAAATCATGTCAACGGGCCTTCTACTCAACATTTTCATCGATCAGGAAACTAAAAAGCTGTCCTAGGATAATGGAGACGGGTGCAATCGCTGTTATAGGTAATTTAATATATACCTGTAAGCAACGATAAACCATTGCTAACGAAAAAATGATTCTGAACGGAGTTCAGTGAAAATGATACTTTGTCAACAATAAATGTCATGTTGTATTAAAATAAATAGGTATTAATTGTTCTAATTTTCTATTATAATATTTGTGTAATGTTGTACCGATTTTCTAGTTTTTCCTACGTTTTTTTCGATTTTTTCCATTTATTAGGAAAACTCATGGGAAAATCAAAATCTTAAATACTACCCAAGTCAAATTTCTTCGCGCTACATTTGTGAATTGAAGCAACATTTTTGGTAAAAAAATTGATCACAGATTAAAAAAAAAAAAATTTTTAAAATAATAATAAACATTGTAATACCAATAAATTCCTCACTCCGCTCAGAATCCAAAAACATAATTCAATTTTTGTTAAATAATCTTCATAAATGGTTGTTGTTGATTAGGATCAGAGGTGTAGGTCAAGCCACGAATAGCCGCTTGCAAAGATGTCGAGGGTAAGTATACATTTTTATTTAAATCTTCTATTTTATTTATCATTTTCTCCTTTTCAGATTAAGAGTTCTTTTAAGAGTTCCCGTTAAGGCGTTGGTTAAGAGTTGACTTAATATTTTTGCGGCACCATGTACATTTGTTCTATGTTATGCCATTAATAGTAAGCTTTATAAAAAAAGTTGAAATCATTATGTCTTAAAGATTACGCCAGATAACGTCAAATAAAAGATTTTTTTTGTTGGTTTACAAACAAAATGATCATTAATCGATCGATTATTATTGCCGCGATTATACCTATTGATAACTATACTCGGTCGATGATAGTGATGAGCGAAACTTGACCAAAACCAAGACTAAGGCAATCTTGGTCTTCGTCTTGAATACAGTCATTAGTATTAGTCTCGGTCTTGTTGCAAGACCCTTGCAGGCTTGCTTTTTTGTACAAATTAAATTAATTTAATTTTTTTTAATGTTTAGTCTACATAAAAATCTTGATGTTTCAAATTTGGACGATAAAAAACTGGAGCGATTTGTTTGAAATTGTAAATTATTACATTTAAGGATAGGTTCTTATCAGTCATTTTCTAAGGAATAAAAATCAGGCAAATTATGAGAAGTTACATCTGGATCAGGTCGATGTGTGTTTGTGTAGTTTAAAATTAATGTATACTTAGCTGACTGCTATTAGACTCAATGTGTATTGTATATCAGTGGCGTAGCCAGGATTTCAAAATGGAAAGGTCCTTTACGGGTACAACCACTGTTATAGTTGGGAATTTAGGAAGGTAGAATACAGAAGGGAATTTAATGTACCAGGTGATCCATTTTAATGGGTACATTCATAATACCGAAAAGTATTGACTTTGTTTCTAGAAAATCTAAGAAACAAGCTGCTCCACAATTTTATATTTTTTATTTTTGTAGAATATTGGAGTACCATTTGTGTGACTGTAATGCACCACTATTCTCCTTCAACCTAAACTTAAAAGTTGAATATCGACAGAAATCACAGAAAACACTTCAACACTAAAATTTATTTTAACTGAAATTCCATCTATTTATGGAATTTTTAATATAAGTTGCCATTTGAAAATCAAAAAAAGGTTAGGTTAGGAGGTACCTAGTGGTTTCGCCCCCAAAAATAAGGGTGGCAAAAAAATAACGTATATATGACATTGTGGAGCTGCTTGTTTCTTAAATGTTCTAAACAACAAATTCCGAAAAAAGTTAATACGTTCCGAGATATTGAGGGTGCACCCACTTAAATGGATCACCCGGTGTTATGTAGGTACTGCTCGCGTCGGAAACCCTGAGCCATTATATCCGTAGACCGGCCGCGGCAAATTCGATTTGAATTATTATTATCGAACTACGGGTAGGTATATCGTATAATACGGTTCGAACAAGACAAAGCGGAGCGGATTGACGCGGAATAATCGGCGGCGGCGGCGGCGGTCGCACGGGATGGAGGCGTCGTCGTCGGGCGGTTTATGAGTTTTGCACGCCGCGGCGAATAATTACGAAAACTTCCCGACGACGGCGTGCCGGCGGACTTCTCGTCGTTAACCGCCGCGGTGACGACGGCGACCGTGCAACCCGCCGACCCCCCCCCCCCCCCCCCCCNCCCCCCCCCATCCCCCGGATCGCCGCCGGCCCGCGCAACAATAATTATTCACCGTGACGACGACGGCGGCGGTGGCGATCGAGAATCCGACGAACGTTCGAACGCGCGCCGATGCGGATTTGGACGGGACAATTACCCGGTGTTCGGGGAATTCGGTCTCGCGCGAACGAATAGGCAGAAAAACGAAAGAAAACCAAACGCCCTACGCCGCCAACGGTCCGAACGGATCAAGCGGAACCGCACCGCGCGTCGACTTTTTTTAGTGTCGTCTAGATATAGACAACAGATATAAAACAAACCACGAACAATTGAAGAACTCAAAGAGGAAATTCGTCGTGTCATTGATGAACTAGACACGGAGATGTGTCAGCGAGTGATAGCATATTTCGTGACCAGAACTGAATTCGCTTGCCAGCGAATCCGAGGTGGACATATGCCAGATGTTTTATTCCACACATAAATCGGAGAACATGTACAATAGTTTTAAATAATTTTTTTGTTCAAAATATTTTTTTTTAATAAAGTAATAACGAGATTAAATCCGACGTTCTTAATGAAACGCCCTTTATAAGCGAAGTGTCTTCCAATCGCATTCGGTGATATTCAATCGAAATGACAATATTATTATAATTATTGTACACAGAAGCGCATCGACATTGTTTCTGATGAGCCAAGGCTCCGGTAAAATGTAGGCGGGTAAGACAAAGCACCAGTTAATATGCTCGTTATTTTTTTAATTTCGCCGGAAATCGCAGGCAAGAAAAATTACGGGATAAAAAAAGGGGCTGCGTCAAAGTTCCGTCCAAAATGTAAAATTTGAACTTAAGGACGTACTATAATAGCTCCGTCCCGGGTTTGTAAAATAGATATACTAATTCCGTTCTGTGCAATTTATTTAGTTATACGTCCCTTTTTGCATTCTATGCGCTATATTAATATCGTGTAAAATGCACGTCCGCGCGATAACAGTTTTAATATTATTTAGAAATAAAGATAGTACACTGCTTAACTTTTAAACGTTCCAGTCATTATGTGTGCATCTCCGTGTATGGATTTATCATTTTTTTTTTTTTATTGTACTGATATAGTAATATTGTAATATAATGTACTTTAGTTTATCTTTTTGTATTAAATACGGAATATATATAGGTACACACAAACATTTTTTTCCGGGACGGAATTGGTATAAAAAAAGGTTATCGGTTATTGTTGTACATGCCATTTGCGCCTATCCATTTATAAATATATATAAATGCGAATTAGTATATTTTGTGATTTTTCACGTTGATACACATATTGGTGAACATGCGACTTTCTCGTCGTATTTTTGGACATCGTGTAATAAAACAGGTAAAAGAACTTCGATCGTTTCACTCAGCATTCGGGAAATATTTTTACTCGTCCCGTACAAATATTTTTGTTTTTTTGTGGAGTTTTGAAAACGATTCAACATGACGATGAACGCGTTGTGGCGTGTTTAGGATTTTACTAAAAAACGGTTAAGGGGATGAAAGAACAAAGGAGGCGACTGCTCCGGGTGGCGAATGTGTAGAGGTAGAAATTTGATGAAGGCGAAAACAATAGTTTTTAAACGGTCTAATGAATGACGATTTTTAAAAAGAATTATTAATTATTGAAAATGATGCTTATTAAATAATAATGTTAGAAATATTATTATATGAATATACGGAGGGTTATCACGTCGGTGAGCATCTGTGACCATACTACTAAGAAGGCGGAAAACACACATACTATTATGTTGTCTCCGTTTTACAAACGTACGGCATATCAAATTTGCGTTCAACGTGCTGTTAGTTTTAATATTAGACCGAATTGAACTGTTATCGAACAGTATCTGTGCTACGTTAGCGCTTTTTTTATGATATTTTTTCTATTTTTACGAGAGATGTGAGTACGTGTAATATCGTTATTGAATAATGCTAATATCTCGCTTGAAACTTGAAATAGGTAACGAACAAACAGCTTTGACGTTACACAGATAATGTTATTCGCATGGATATTGAAGTTTGATACAATATTGATCAATTTACTTTAAATATTAAAACTAACAGCATAAAATCGTCCCTGCTGAATACAAATTTACCACGCCGAACGTTTATAAGACGGAGACGGCATATGCGGGTGTCGTCCGTTGAATACAATATTATAATATCATTATAGCGTTCGGACGGACGGATTTCCGTTTTCATTTGTGTGATTTTCGAGTATAAATTGCCTACAGTATTATGTTCACAGCAGTGCACACACTAATAGATAATGTTGTATTGTTGTATTTGTTGTATTTCTGGTATTATGGCCGTATAGGTTTATTAAATTCGATATTAATAGTTTCAAATGTTTCATTTGCACACTACCGAGCAATAATTGTTTTACACATATTACACTATCGTCGCTGAATAAGTCCGAATGACCGAAAACCAGACAGATTTAATATATATATATATATATATATATATATATATATATATTATGTATATATTTTGTTTTATAGTGTTTTTTTTTTTTTCAATAATATTATATCAATCATATTACGATTGTGAAATTAGTGGAAAGCTCATACAATTAACTGGTGCTGAATTTCGAAAAAGAACCTAAGAAAAAAATCATAAAGACCAACAAACGATTCAAACATCAAAGTTAAACTATTAATTTCCTCGTGCGCAAATAGCTTCAAAGCTTGTT